TGCAGGAGTGCACAGGAGCGGAGCCCTGGCAGTAAGGAGCCCAGGGGGCAGGCACATGCAAGAAGCCCCACCCCCTGCTCCCAGCAGCCCTCAGTCGGGCCATGGGGAGCAAGAAGCAGCCAGGTAAGTTGCAAAGCCCCCGCTCCCTGGCCTGCCTTCAGATACAAGCTCTCCCTCCTCTGTGAGAGCAGATCTGCGCATTTCCCCCCCCCCCATCGCTAACAACCCCCAAAACAGTCCAGTGGCACCTTTAAGACCAAGTCTTATACAGGTACAAGTGCTCCCTCCTCTGTGAGGACAGATCTGCATGCCCCCCCCCAATAGCTAGCAATCCAAAGTCCAGTGGAGCCTGAGCGGTGGGTGTTGCCTTCTGACACACGTCCGGTGATGTCAGGGGGTGTGGCATATGCAAATAAGTTATGCTAATGAGCTCCTGCACCTCTTTTTCTACAAAATGACCTCTGAAAAGAGCCAGCCAGTGTGGTGTAGTGGATAGAGACACGGGCTATGACCCTGGCCGATCAGGGTTCGAATCCCCATTTCTACCAAGGAAGCTCTCAGGACGACTGTGGGCCCATCACAAACTCCACCTGGCCTACCTCCCCAGGCTGGTGTTGTGAGAGAATGAAGGAGGGGAGAGTGACGTTCTCAATGCCAATAGATTCAGGTGGACAGCCGTGTTGGTCTGAAGCAACAGGACAAAGTCTTGAGTCCGGTGGCACCTTTAAGACCAACAAAGTTTCGGTCTGGCTATAAGCTTCCGTGTGCATGCACACTTCTTCAGTTTTGAGTGTCCAGCCAGAGTGAAAAGCGGGATACAAATGAATAAATGCAAATGCAAGGATGAAGGCACAGCAGTGGATGCATCCACCATTTTGTGGCCCGTAGGAGTGAGAAGGTTCAAGCGTGGTCTAGGAAGGCCTGGCTTAGGGCGCCAGCCCCTTTCCGTGCATGATGTGGCATTTCAAACATACAAAGATTTTTCTTCCATACTCGTAGGCAGGGCTCTTTTTGTAGAAAAAGCCCAGCAGGAACTCATTAGCATAATAGGCCACACCCAACAGCAGGAACTCATTAGCATATTGGGCCACACCCCTGACAGCACAGCTCATTACCACATTAGGCCGCACCCCCATGTTACCAGAAGTGTGCTCATCTAGCCACACCCACCTTTTGCTTGTTATTCTGTTTACCTTGTTTGTTGTCAAAACCCAGGGCCTTTTTTTTGTAGCAGGAACTCCTTTGCATGTTAGGCCACACACCCCTAATGTAGTCAATCCTAATGAGTTTCTGCTGTTGGGTGTGGCCTATTATGCTAATGAGTTCCTGCTGGGTGTGGCCAACTTGGGAGCCAGCCGGAACTCTGTTCCTGTGCATTCCTGCCCAAAAATAGCCCTGCTCGTAGGTGTGTGCTTGGACCAATGCCTATTACTCGCTTGTACCAGGCCCACACAAGAGGTGCTTTGGCCCCAAAGGGTGAGCCCATATGGGGAGCAACCCCTCATCCAGAGGGAAGAGGGGCACGTGGGGATTCCCCAAGGCAGTCTACCTCTGACAGACTCGTGGCGAGGGGGGGGGATCCCAATGGCGGGATGGCCTGGCTCCATCGCAGAACACCAGCTGATGAAGCTGCACTGGAGAAGAGCAAGTCTGAGGGAACCGTGAGCATATTGGGCTGGGGTTGGGGAGCCCCGGATTCAAATCCCTTGCTCCACTTTGAAGCTCACCGGAGGGCCTTGGGCCAGTTCGCTTTAATGGAAGCAGGAACGAGATCTTTGGAAGACAGCCGGGACAAAATTGCAGTCAGTTGCCCGCCCATCCTTCCAGAAGCAAGTAGAGAACACACCACATGTTGCTCCCAGGGCCAGTGTGCTTCCACTGTGAGTCAGGTTGTGCCTAAAGGATCTGAGCTGCAGCAAGAGAGACCTGGCTGGTCCTGGGGTGAATGGACAAAAGAGAAGCCATGTTGGATCAGGCCAGTGGCCCATCCAGTCAAAAACCCCATGGCCAAAAGCCAGGGCCCATCAGGAGGTCCACCAGCAGAGCCAGAACTCCAGAAGACCTCCCACTGATGCCCCCCCCAAGCACCAAGAATACAGAGCATCACTGCCCCAGACATAAGAACGTAATAGAAGCCATGTTGGATCAAGCCAATGACCCAACCAGTCCAACACTCTGTGTCACACAGTGGCCAAGACCCAGGGGCCATCAGGAGGTCCACCAGCAGAGCCAGAACTCCAGAAGCCCTCCCACTGGTGCCCCCCAAACACCAGGAATACAGAGCATCACTGCCCCAGACATAAGAACATCAGAGAAGCCATGTTGGATCAGGCCAGTAGCCCACCCAGTCCAACACTCTGTGTCACACAGTGGCCAAAACCCAGGGGCCATCAGGAGGTCCACCAGTGGGGCCAGATGCAGAAGCTGTTTCTTGGGCACCGGGCAGTGTTGGCTTTTGTGGCACGTTTTTGTTTTAATTTGCTTCCCCCAGTGGTTTTTTCCACCCCATCCAAGAAGGACCCATTCAGATTCACTCAAGATGAAATTTTGGCGACTGCTCCACTCAGTGAAGGAGGCATCTCCCCCAGGTTCCTCCCTCCCAAGGCAGGTAGCAGGGGGCAGCGTCAGAAGCTGGAGGAGAAAAGAGGAGGAGGAAGAGGAAGAGGAAGGAGAGCAGCCAGAGAGGAGCGGAAAGCAAAAATAACCAGAGAAAGCGATGATACTGAGGTGTGACAGGAGGAGAAGAGAACAGGCGCTGGTCCAAAACACACACAAAAAAAGAGATAGTTAAGTAGGTGGAACTGGGGAGCAACCACTGCTGCTGGGGACCTGCTCAGTAGAAGACAAGGAGCACTTGGGACTGTGGAGCAGCAAAGTTCTGTGGGGGACCCGAACAAAAAGAGCCCCCTCTTCAGGGCTCTTCGTGTAGAAAAAGCCCAGCAGGAACTCATTAGCATAATAGGCCACACCCAACAGCAGGAACTCATTAGGCTATTGGGCCACACCCCTGACAGCACAGCCCATTAGCTTATTAGGCCACACCCCCATGTTACCAGAAGTGTGGTTATCCAGCCACACCCACCTTTTGCTTGTTATTCTGTTTACCTTGTTTGTTGTCCAAACCCAGGGCTTTTCTTGTGGCAGGAACTCCTTTGCATGTTAGGCCACACACCCCTAATGTAGCCAATCCTAATGAGTTTCTGCTGTTGGCTGTGGCCTATTATGCTAATGATTTCCTGCTGGGCGTGGCCAACTTGGGAGCCAGCTGGAACTCCGTTCCTGTGCGTTCCTGCCCAAAAATAGCCCTGCCCCTCTTCCCCAGGATCCCATCTCCAACAGTGTCAAGCCAGACGCCCCGAGAAGGGGGGTGGGATTCAGTTTGGGCCTGGCCCACCCAGGTATTTTAAAGTGCTGCCCCCCCAGCCTGCCTAGCAACTATCACCTAGTGGCAGGAGCGGCTTATGGGATGGCTTGCAGGAAATGTCCTGGCTCCCGCCCCCGAAGGGAGGACAAAGACTGAGTCTGCGTTAGGACTCAAAACTTTGTTCTGTTGCTTCAGACCGACACAGTGACCCACCTGGATCGATCTCCCCTGAAGGGGGAGGAAGAGGTGGGGCCATTTGCAGTGAGCATCCGGAGGTGGTGAGCGAGAAGCCAGGGCCACAGCCACGGCAGCTACCACTAACCTGTCAACAGCTGTGCACCCGTGTGCAATGCTCCCTCTAAGCTGTGGAGTCTTGTGAGCAAAAATTCTACTTTGTGAGCTACTGGCATCAAAGTGGTGAGCGAGCGAAAATTAGTCTGCTCTGGAGCCCTCCTTCCTGAGCAAAGACAAAAATCTGTGAGCTGGAGGCTAAAAAACCTGTGAACTGTCTCACACTAACTCAGCTTAGAGGGAACACTGCCCGTGTGGCTCTTCGGCTGTTGCCCTGGCAGCTGCGTTGCTGCTTCCCCGTGCCAACCAACACGTCTGCCGCCCCTCCCTCCCATTTCAGTGGCATTCAGTGGGAGGGGGGTATTCCCCATGGCCCATTCCACATTCTGCTGCTGTCTTGAAGGCTCATTTCATATTTTTAAACAAATCTTGCATTACGGCAGGGGTCCCCAACATGGTGCCTGCTGACACCTTTCTTGGTCCCTGAATGTGGGCCAGGCCAGGTGGGGCTTTGGCCCAGCAAGGCTTCTGATTGGTAATTGGAGATCGGATTGGTTGTGCAGGTTTTTAAAGGTTTGGCAGCAGCTGCCATCACAATACATGAGTGAAGGGAAGCTGCGGCCGACATTTCCTGGCTGACTCCACCTCCTGTGACAGACCTTTTGTGGCTGCCCCCAGCGCCCTGCATCAGGAGTCCAAAGATGCCTGCCAGCTCAGAAAGGCTGGAAAACAGC